CTATTGGATGCACTTCGCTAAAATGTTCACGATTTAGAGTGGCCTTTATTCTGAAACTTACTTAGACCTACAGTAATGCAGCGAATTTTACTTATTGCCCTATTACTAAAAGATATTTCAAGAATAATTTTCAGCTTCTGGGTTCAGGAACTATATGTGCAACACTCAACAAAAATTCCAGGGGCTTTTCTACATATATCTACATGTATCTGAGGCTTTTTGTATATGTCTCCCCCCTCTACCCCATTTTGTATTCTGTGCCACAAATTCTAGCCTTCTTAGCCTTTCCACACTGGTGATCTGCTGGGTTTTCATCTCCCTTTTACTATCACTTAAACACTCCAGGCCATAAGTTGGATCATTCAGACAGCTTTCCTCATTTGTTTTTCCTTATGGATCATAGTTTCAAGCTGCCTGTTCAGTACCTAAAATATGTTATGTATGGTTTTTCTAGTGTTTAGTTGTTTACTGCTGAAGGACAATTTTTATAGCAGTTAATCCTTCATGGTAGAAGCTTATGTCCCTCTATGTATAATAATAGTGCTAAGCTCCAGTCAGGAAATACTGCTGTAAGTTTTAAAGTAGTAGTAGTAGTAGTATGGAAAAGAGAAACTGAAAAGGGAATAATTGACTTTCAGGAATTAAGATTTAAAAAAAAACAAACCAGGTAAGTGTAGGATTAAAAGAGGACTTAAAAGAGGACTCAAAAAATGCCTCAGATTATTAGGGTAATCGTAGTTGGTATTCCATTAAGAAGTTAGAGTGTGAAAACAGATTTGGCAACTTCATGATGAATTTGTTTTAGGCCTATTGAATCTTATGATGCCTTTAGAATATATAAAAGGCCAGTAGTATTGCACATATGACCACAATGCCCTGACATTGTCAATGTGTAGATATAAGCTTTATGTTTATAAAACTCAGGGACAACATTAGAGTGAGAAGGAAAGTTCATAATCTTTAACATGCTATACAAAAGAGAGGGGCCCCAAAACGCTAACAAGCACAAAAATTTCATACAGAGGCATAGTTAGCAACATGTAATAATTATTCTGCCATAGTTCTAAAAGCTAGAAGTCTAAAATCAAGATGTCAGCAGGATCTGTCTCTGTGAAACTGAATAGAATCCTTCCTTGTTCTTGATTCTAGTCCTATTCCTTGCTTTGTGGCTATATCACTCCACTGCCTTTAGCATGTGGTTTTTATGGATACTGGTTACATTGGGTTTAAATAATACCAATAGGCCTGGGAAGTTGGCTCTGTGGTAGAGTGCTTGCCTTGCATGCATGCGGCCCTGGGTTCAATTCCTCAACACCACATAAGCAGAAAAAGATAGAAGTGGCACTGTGGCTCTAGTGATAGATCGCTAGCCTTGAGCTGAAGAGTTGAGGGACAGTGCCCCGGCCCAACAAAAATAAAAAATAAAAATAAAAAAATAACATCAGTATCAGCTGGTAGGATCTTATCTTGACTTACTATACCATCAAAGAGCTTATATCCAAATAGTTAACCTTCTGAGGTTTTGGAGGCCGAGATAATTCAACCCATAGTATGTTTTATACCTGTTTTATAATGGTTTTGGGTAGGTGTGTGTGTGTGTGTGTGTGTGTGTGTGTGTATCAACTGAGATAATTGTGTGGATATTTTTTCTTCTATTAATGTGTGTTACATATAAAATCTGTTGGATTCATTTTCCTAGCATTTTGTTGGGGAGCTTTAGGTTTATTGTTGTTGACATTGATTTTGTCTTTTAGCTTTTCTATGTTTTTGTCTGACTTTAGTGTTAATGCCTTATAGAGTTTAGAAGTGTTTCCTCCTTCAGAATGGTTGTTTATTTATGTGCTGGTCCTTGGGCTTGAACACAGGACCTAAATGCTGTACCTTAGTTTTTTCCACTCAAAGCTACCACTCTACCACTTCAGCCACAGCTCCACTTGTAGCTTTGGGGTGATTAGTTGGAGATAAAAATCTTACAGGCTTTACTGCCTGGGCTGGCTTTAATCCATGATTCTCAGATCTCAGCCACCTGAGTAGCTAAGATTATAGAATGGTATTTTACTCTTTTTTTTTTTTTTTGTCCAGTCATGGGGCCTGAACTCTGGTCCTTGGCACTGTCCTTCAGCTCTTCAGCTCAAGGCTAGTGCTCTACCACTTGAGCCACAGTGCCACTTCCGGCTTTTTTTTTTCTTTTTTTGCTTATGTGGTGCTGAGGAATCGAACCCAGGGCCTCAGGCATGCAAGGCAAGCGCTCTACCACTGAGCCACCTTCCCAGCCCTACAGAATGGTATTTTAATGATACATTTACTGGCTTTATAAGTGTGCCTTCTTCAGAATTCAAGACATTCTTACATTACACTTAAACTCTCTAGTTTATTTTCCTGCATTTTATGGTTTTCAGTATCCTGTTTTGTCACCAGACATACCTCTCACTGCTGCTAATCTCATTTTTTAAAAAATTTGCAGTTTCTGATGAGCTTTGGGTTTACAAAAATTGTGCTAAATCTAGAAAATTGAGGTATTTCTCCTCTAAAGAAATTATATATGTTATTGTTAGGGTATTATGATATCTTTTGACAGTGGCCACTTGTAGTTCTTTGTATTCAATTTTTTTTCTTTATAATATGTGATCACATACATGATCAGGCTAAGTAGATGTGGCATTCTTCTACTTACCTAAATTTATATTTCCACATGAATATAACTCATCTGGAATGCCCCACTATTGCAATTGCATTATAAAGAAGTAGAGACTTTTTTTTTAATTCTGTATTTCTGGTAAACTGAATTGGAAGAATAAATACTAATAGCCTTTTCTATATATTGGTTTGAATATCATGTGTTGTTCCAACACATCAGTGGTGGGTGAAATAACTAAAGTAAAGTAAGTAGATGCTTGTATCTTTGTGTGTTTTTTTCAGGGACCAGATGGACTGTTAATGTATTTACCATTGAGTAGAACATACTCTATTAAGTACATTATAGAAAGTAGTTATTGGTAATACTGTAGTTACAGATAAAGTGTTGATGGTTCTAAAAAAGAAGAAATTAGAGTTGGAGGGAAAGTGTCACTGAGACATGGGTGTTTTAGCTGTATGCATTAAGAACTAATAATAGAATTCACAAAAGGAAGAAAAACTTTATGTAGAGAATAATGAGATGTAGTTCATTTTGTAGGTAACATACATAGGTAGTATAAATGACATAGAGGGAAAAGGACACTTTGGAACTAGGCTATAACTCTTTAACGAAACCTAGTGTTACAAACACAGGAGGAATTTCTTCTTCCTCCAGGAAACCCTAATTTTGTTATTTAATGTTGTGTGTTTTTTAAAAAATTTATTGTGAAGGTGATGAACAGGGGTTACAGTTACATAAGTAAGGAAATGAGTACATTTCTTTTTAAACACTTTTTTTCCCCCAATTACCATTCCCCACTCCCCTCCCATTCCTGTTGTTTTTTAACTGTTTAAGTCAGTCCACTGTTAGATTAACTGTTGACTGAATAACTGTTGTCACTTAACCATATGACATATAAAATTGACCATTATGCTATCTATACTTAACAAAATTAGTAAATCAGTATATGAGCCAGGCACTGGTGGCTTATGCCTATACTCCTAGCTACTAAGGATGCTGAGATCTGAGGATCACAGTTCAAAGCTAGCCTGGTCAGGAAAGTTCATGAGGCTCTATTAATCTTCAACTTCAAAAGTCTGGAAATGGGGCTGTGGCTTAAGTGATATTACCCAGGGACAATACCCAGTCCTTGAGTTCAGGCCACAGGACACACACACATACATACATACATACACACAAAATCAACATGTTTGAATTTTTTTGTTTTTTTTTTTTGTAAAAATAGTGTACAGAGGGGTTACAGTTACATGAATAAGGTAATGAGTACATTTCCTATCCAGCATTGTTACTTCCGCCTTTGTTTTTCCCCTACTGTCCCTTCCCTCCTCACCTGCCTATTTCCCCCCTCCCCATATTTTAATTTTTTTAAATTTCTTTAATTGTATAAAGGAGTTGTTATTCACCAAAGTTTTCACTTCTTTTATAAATAGATCTGTGAACTGCCTAGTTTCAAACTAATAAAATGTTTGGATTTATGGAAGCTCTCAGATAAAGAACTGACTATAAAACTAAGAACTAAAAAAAAAAAAACATTACTTGCTGGGTGCTGGTGGCTCAGGCCTGTAATCTGAGCTACCTAGAAAAATTGTGGTTTGAAGCCAGTCAGACAGGAAAGGCCCTTCTTTCTTTTTTTGGGGGGGTCCGGTCATGGGGCCTGAACTCTGTCTGGGCCTGGGCGCTGTCCCTCAGCTCTTCAGCTCAAGGCTAGCACTCTACCACTTGAGCCACAATGTCACTTCCGGCTTTTTTCCTTTTTTTTTTGCCTATGTGGTGCTGAGGAATCGAACTCAGGGCCTCATTCATGCAAGGCAAGCACTCTACCACTGAGCCACCTTCCCAGCCCCTGGAAAGGCCCTTATTTCTAATTAACCATCAGAGAACCAGAAATGAAGCTGTGGCTCCAGGTGGTAGTACACTTACACTAGCCTTGAGCAAAAGAGCTCAAGAACAGGGCCCAGGCGCTGAATTTAAGCCTCATAACCCACCCAACAAAAAACAAACAAAAAAAAAAACTTTTATAGAGTGTGTATGTGTATGTGTAATGTTACTTGCTTGGTTTTAAAGTAATTTCATCTCAAAAAGTCATGTGTATGTGTGTGTGTTTTTCCCCCTCAGGGTTTTGAGTTATACTTAGTTTTTGTTTGAAGCTGGATATCTTAAATGGTTTCAAATAAGAAATGGTCCATTGAGAGCTTATTTTAAAATAATCAAAAATATTTTGAAAAATATTTTATCTTGTTTTTGGTAAGTTAATAAGGATTTAAGCTTAAGTACATTCTTTGTTATACCAGTATTTAGAATTAAATACATTGTGGACATATATGTATTTGTAGAAACGTGTGTATTTCTTTTTTTCTCATAGGATTATGTACTGAAGGACTGTATCGTGTTAGTGGAAACAAAACTGATCAAGACAATATTCAAAAGCAGTTTGATCAAGGTAAGATGACTATTGTGTAAAGTTAAATCATTGTTTAGATGTTTCCCTTATTGGAGTTTTGTGGTTTGTATTTAAAACTAAAAGATATGAATGGCTAAGAAGAGAGAGTTTCAAAGTACTATCTGAAGTATTAAAGACTGTAGGTGCCACAGTAAAGGACAGGAGAGCTAGGAAAGTTGTCTTTACATTAGGATTCTAGGCAATTACAAGAAGTTGAAATATAACACAATAGGATAAAAATGAAAGACAGAAACAGTTTGAGAAAATATAGTATTCTTCTTACACATACACATATATATGAGGGAGAGAGAGATCTCAGTATGGAACATCACAAGTTCAGGCTAATCTTGAACTTGCAGTTCTCCTCAGTCCTCCTGCCTTCACCTCTCAAGTGCTGAGATTGTATTCCTCTTATTTGTAATGTAAGAATGAAGGCAAAAGAGAGACCTTCTAGGGCTGGGAAAGTGGCTCGATGGTAGAGTGCTTGCCTTGCATTCATGAGGCCTTGGGTTCGAATCCTCAGCACCACATAAGCAAAAAAAGGTAGAAGTGGCTCCATAGCTCAGGTAGCAGAGTGCTAGCCTTGAGCTGAAGAGCTGAGGGAACACCGTCCAGGCCCAGAGTTCAGGCCCCACAACCGACCAAAAAAAAAAAAGGAGAGAAAGAGAGACCATCTTCTTTCTTCCATAAAAAAGGAAATAGTTAAAAGCACTCTTGGAACAGAGTCTGTCATAAGCCCAGAATAAAATAGTATGAAGGCAAATATATAGGTTTTGTTTTAGGAATGATCAGAATCTATTTCATGTCCTAAGACTGCAAGGAATACTATAAAACACTGTTTTGAGGAAGGATACGGTATATGATGGCTCAGGTACTCTCCATTTTTCCTCATGTTTTACACTCTTATCCCAATAATCAATTCACATATAAATATAAAATGTTATATAATCTATCAACACAATTAGGAAGGCAGTAAACTGACTTACAATGGATTAGCGTCTTTGTATATCAAAGGCCTGTGAGAAAATTTTTTTCATAATGTTGGAGGAATTTAACATTAAGAGTAAAAACAACTGATTTGCCTATTCATAAATAAATTACATATACAGTCAAGGATTTACATGTATGAATGAAAACCAAAAACACTTGAATGAAAATGAGCATTTTTATAGTGTTAAGAGTAGGAAAAGCCTAAACTTGATAGGAAACCAAAAATGTCTGAACTACCCAAAGATGCAGAAATTCTGTAAGAGGATATAAATAAAGCATAAATAAAATCCATGACAAATGCACTCTTGGGGAGGATGTGGAATAACTTTACTAAAACAGTTTATTGCAGAAAAAAGCTATTAGTAAATATTTGAAAAAGTCCTTAGTCTTAAGATTGTATTTATTATCAGAGTGAAAAAGGTTATTAGTAGACTGTAGGCAAATAGGTATCATATACACTGGTTATGTATAACTTTTGAGAGGCAGTTTTTGAATATATTAAAATTCAAATAACTTTGTTAGAGACATTCTACTTCAAGGAGTTTATGTTAGAAAAGACTTTGCTTAAGCTTATAAAGAGCATTTGCTGCAGCATTGTTTGTAGTTGGGACAGGGGAAGGTAGAGGCAAATCTCCTGAGTATTAATGTTTAATTTTGTTAGTCATGTAAAATAATATATGTTTGATACCATGATAAAATATCAAGTTGTTGAGTGGTACATATATATATATATGGTGGTATATATATGTATAGATACATATATGTATGTATGTATATACTCTCTAGCTGTGTTGTCAAAGAATGCTGTAGCCCATTTTTTAGTTTTAAATCTTCATTAGAGAAACTGTAGAATTTATAATTTATATATTTCACTTCTGGTAATGAAGGCCAGGATAGTGGTTAATTCCAAAGCTCTTGAATTTGACTCTTTGATTTTGTTTTCTAATTTTGCCACTTTCTTTCTTTGTGTATCAGGTACGTTTATCTTTCTAAATTTCAATTTCTTCATCTGTGCAAAGGGTTGAGACACATTAAGTGTGAATAATGCATGTGAAGAATTTTAAGAGAGGTTGAGATACAGGAAGATTTTCCCTAGCTAGTCAGGGAAAAGATTTGTGAGATCTTCATTTCAACTCATAGTCAATTAGCTACACAGGGGTAAGGTTGGGCAGATCAAAGCTGGTTAGAGGCAGGGCTTGAGCAGTAGACTGCCTACCTAGTAATGTTGACTAGTTAATCACTAATACTATGTAAGTTAATCAATCTGAGGAAACATTTTTAACTATTGAAATTATTTATGTATAGGAGCACTCCTGTAATCCCAACTTTTCAAGAGGCAGGGTTTGAAGCATTGTAGTTCAAGTTCATCACAGGCAAAAAGTTAGCATGACTTTATCTCAGCCAATAAGTTGGGTCTATAATTTTAGCTACTTGGAGGCATAATTAGGCATAAAAAGGAGAGTCAGTTTAAGCTGCCTGTACAAAAAGTGAAATCTCATGCCTGCAATCCTAGCTACTCAGGAGGCTGAGATGAGAGAATCTTGGTTCAAAGCTAACTTGGGCAAAAAAATCTAAGAGACTCTGTCTCCAATGAACCTGCAAAGAAGCAGACTGGAGGTAATGGCCAAGTGGTGGAGCAACAGCCTTGAGCAAGAAAGCCAAGCAAGAATGTGAACTCCTGAGTTTAAGAGACACATACACACCAAAAAACCTAGATGGGAGTATAGCTCAAGTGGTGCGCGTGCATGTGCGCGTGCGCGCGCACACACACACACACACACACACACACACACACACACACACACACACACACACACACACACACACACACTGGATGGGAGTATAGCTCAAGTGGTGTACACACACGCGCACACACACACACTGGATGGGAGTCTAGCTCAAGTGGTGTACACGCGCGCGCGCACACACACACACACACGAACATAGCTCAAGTGGTAGAGTACTTACCTATAATCACAAGGCCCTGAGTTCAAACCCCAATACTGATGGGTCAAAAATAAACCTGCTTGGGCTGAGAAGGTGGCTCAGTGGTAGAGTGCTTAACTTGCATGCATGAGGCCCTGGGTTCGATTCCTCAGCACTACATAAGCAGAAAAAGCCGGAAGTGGTGCTGTGGCTCAACTGGTAGAGAGCTAGCCTTGAGTTGAAGAGCTGAGGGACAGCAAGGTCCAGAGTTCAGGCCCCACGACTGGCAATAAATAAATAAACCTGCTTATATGAAGTATAGTGTTAATTGATGATTCTGGGTTACATACATTAACTTTGTTTGCCAGTTTTCCAGTATAAACAAAATGTTTTTTAAAGCTTGGATAATACCTTAAAGATGAAATAAAGTATAGAATATATAGAATAGGTATTTGTTTTTTCCTTTAAGTGATGGAAAAACTAAAGGAATTATAAACAATGATTGTTTCTAGGTGATGGGAATTTTTTCTATTTTCTAGTCTATCTTAGATTTAAATGATTTATTAATCTCAGATACATTTTATGACACACCTTTAGTGTGTTCCATTCTTTTTTTCTCTTAGTTCAGTATACTGATAAGACAGTTACTTAAATTTAGACTTTTTAGAAAATTGTTAGTTTCTTTCTGGTTTCTTATGGATTCTTTAAAAGATGCCTGTGGAAGCAGAAGAAATTAAGATAGGTATTTTTAAAAAGAAAACAATTTCTTGCTTGGTTTTCTTTTCCCTGATCAATATAGTCTGTCAACCTCTGAAGAACAGGATCTAGTGAGAAATTTCAAATCTTTTAATCTAGAGGTGCCTATTGAGCTTAACTTTTACAATAAATTAAAATTTCATTATATAAGGTAAAATTTTACTTTTGTCTTATAGATCATAATATCAGTCTAGTATCAATGGAAGTGACAGTAAATGCTGTAGCTGGAGCTCTTAAAGCTTTCTTTGCAGATCTACCAGATCCTTTAATTCCATATCCACTCCATCCAGAGCTATTGGCAGCAGCAAGTAAGTATAAATTTACTTTCTTGAGAAGGATGATATAGTAATTTTTGAGTTGTAATTGAAGTCAGTCATGCACTAGGATTTTAACTATAAAAATTCAGCTGTCACCGGGTGTCTGTGGCTCACACCTGTAAAATTAGCTACTCAGGAGATCTGGAGATTGCAGTTTAAAGCCAGTCCTGCAGGCAGATTCTTATCTCCAATTAACTACCTAAAAACCAGAAGTGGATCTGTGCTCAAAGTGGTAGAGCACTAGCCTTGAGCACAAAAACTCAGGGATTCTGCCCCAGGCCCTGAATTCAAGCCCCAGGATATTGGTGTGTGGGGGGGGGGGGGGGGGGGAGTGGAAATCAGCTGTCTTAGAAGTAAAATTAGAATCCCCGTTGATGGAACCCAGGAATATGCAGTTTTAGATATCCTGCCAGATCAGTACTCTGAGAAGTTAATTAAATGTATACATTGAGGTATTTATATTTTTTAGGTGTTTTTACTTTTTAGCATTTTTTATTTATTAGCTTACAATAGTTACACATTATTTATATTCCGTGTGCTTATAATCTATACTCAATCTCATTGTCTTTTTGCTTTCCTATTCCCCTTCCCAAAACGATTTCAGTAGCTTTCCTTGTATTTTCATAGTTGCAAACAATCTATTTCAACCATAATTACCTTCTTTCAAAATTATTCTCCCAAATTTGAAGTATTTTTAATTCTAAATTAAAAGTATTACAAGAAAAATGCTTCAAATAAATGTATGTTATGGACTTCGGTAAAATACTATCCTATATGGTCAACATATATGTATCTTTACTTTTTTTAATCAAATTTATGTTTGCTTTACATCTGAAGTAATTTTTGGAAAACAATAAGCCAGGAACATATAGAGTACATAACAATAGAAGTAAATTGTGACAAATGAGAATTTTAAGTACTTGATTATACTCCCATGATGATGTAATGTCCACATTAACCTCAAATGACAAAGAATAGGAAAGCAGTCTTTTATTTCCATTATTTCAGGAAGAAGTTTCAGTTTCCATGATATAATTTGCCTAAACTGGGAGAGTAACTATATTAAATGTTTATACTGTTTATAAAGGACATTTATTTTTTTGATAGATTACAAGAAAGCCATATATATTCAGCCTACCACTGTTTTTGAAAGGCTGTTGAACTGAAAGTTATTTTTACATCAATTTCATGGTACACTAAAAATACATAAAATTCTAATTTAAAAGGTTTATTATAGAAGACAGCCTATGCTCATAAGTTAAATATTGTCTTTTGTTCTCACTACTAAGTAATTGTATAGTCTGAAATAATATACTCTTTGCACCAGGACTATTAAAAGACTTACCAATCCATTTCTCAGATTGATTAACTTACATAATATCAGTGATTAATATTAGTGAACATTAGTAATAGTTTTATAAAATACATAAAGTCAATTACTAATACACTTTTATCAATGCTAAATCACTTTGGGCTTTAGTAAATAGCTTTACTTATAATAGGGCTGTTGGAATAGATGGTGTAATTGGGAATGTTCATTGAAATGATTTCTTAATTTAGATTAGTGGGTTTTTTGGCATTATGTTTGTTGTTGCTGTTTACTTATCTTAATATGCTTCAAGAACATCCTTAATTTTTTTTATAGTGTTAGCAAGAAGCTTTTATCAAGTATTTTAAATATATGAGTATCATGCAGATTTTTGCTACTTTCACAGAAATTCCAGATAAAATAGAACGCCTTCACGTCTTGAAAGAAATTGTTAAGAAATTTCATCCTGTAAACTATGAGGTATTCAGATACGTGATAACACACCTGAACAGGTACTTGTTTTGTTTTTGCAGTATAAAATTCACTGTAGATTTCAAACATGTAAATTTCGTTAATTGGGTAATTAGAAGATTTTTTTTCAAAAAAGCAACAGTCAAAGCATAGTTCAGTTTTGGCTTTCCTTAATGATTATCTGTATTTTCTTATTTATACCTAAAAAGCTATATGATTATGGTTTTATACATGTAATAGTTATATGTGATAACCTAATATAATTTTGTCTTTAGTATTGACTTCTATAGACTCTTAGAATTTTCATTATAAAATAAGTTAAATAACCACGTCAATCTATTTGGAGTTGGAAAAACTAGAATCAATCCAATTTTTAAGTAATTCATTTTGCCTCTTCTATTTTGTTTAGCTGTTGTGTAAAGTTTTGTTTAGGTATTACACAAAAATATTTTACTACAAACCTACCCAGTTACTTGAAATACAGGTCACAAGTTTTTGTATTATCACTAGATTTGTTTAAGTTTATGTTTGAATGTAAAAAGGTACTTCTAGTATTAAGTGAAGACACTGTTGCATTAATGATTAGAAGTTTCAGGCAATGGAATCAAGCAAGGGTCTACTTGTAATATTAATAGTTCTGTTACATTGGAGAGAATTACCTTCCTATCTTTATTTTTGTCTATATAACAAGTGGGAAAGATAACACTTCACAAAATTGCTCTGGCAACTTAGTATTTATAACATGGAATTGCAAATGTATATTTTGTAATATTTTCTGGTTAATGGTAGAGTTTTACCTAGCATGTATGAGACCCTGGGTTCAGTGCGAAAAAACTATAAACTGCAGTTTATTTTAACTAATAATATCAAGGCTCAATCGAGCACATTTTAGTTCATGCTATTTAAAAGAGTATTAACCAATGTTTGAAGCTTTATTATTACTTTAGTGTCTTCATGTAAATTTGCATTCTCATTATTTATATTCCTCTTAAGAAAATACTACTCAGCATACAGTATTTAGACTTAGAATTTCCTTTTTTGAAAAGTTGGGTGTTTGATGTTATGATAACAGTGTGCATGGATATTGTAGGATACCTTACTTGTGGAATATAGGATTAATTTGCAAATATATTATTTGACTGAAATAATTCAACCTCATTAAGATGATTTGGGGAAAAGAGGGCATATTCAGTATTTGTCCACTATCAAAATTTTCTAAATTACTTACTATTCCCCAGCACTGCTCTTAGCTCTGGTGATAACTAACCATAACAAGCAATGTAGTCAAAATATATCTGATGTATTGAGGAGCAGCAAAGAGGCTAAAAACTGGGGCCATACTTTATTTTTTTAAAAAGCTGATGATTTACACCGAGATTCACTGGAGGTATAGCAGAATAATACAATCAGACCTAAGTCTGTATAAAAGGAATGCTTAATTAAACTTCAGTGTTGTTGTTCACACAGGGAGACCTGGGAACATGGTGTCTGGTAGGAAGAAAGGGACCATACCATGCGGGTGTAGACAAAGTTTATTAAAACATCATATGCTTATATAGGGCATAGGGGCATAGAAGGTAAGTCTGTAGTCATGGGACAGTCACGGGATAGAAAGTTGACCTTAAACAGTTCTTGGGGAATGTGGACAATTAGCAACTTTTAATCAGTGAAAGAATTGTTCAAGGTAATAAAAGAGGAAGCAAGGTACAGGTGGGACTCCATTAAAAAACACAAAAGGAATCTTGAGGCATAAGTCTACACAATTAACTAGGAGGAGCATGAATAGCACTTCTGGAAAACCATCACCTGAATCTGGTGGCACTGGCATCGGACCTTTGCCCCACGTGGAGGAAAGGGTGTCCTCCTCCCCTAGAGGAATGCATGCCAGCACGTACCCTCACGGCACACAGGGGCTTAGATGGGGCCTTGGGAGTCAGTGCCTCCGACACTACAATAAGCGTGTTTTTTCCTATTCTCCATTTTCTTTCCCTTACCACTGCCGTATTACTGTTTCTTGTTTAGGAAACTAGCTTTGTTACAGTTGTTCTTGTAGCTTTTATTATAATTGCCAATTTTCCTCCTCTTGATTTTGATGCCAGAGGATATTTTTTAAGTATTCTATAAAGACCATTTATGATTGAATACTATTATCTGGGCTTCAGATGGTGGCTCATGCCTGTAATCTTAGCTGTTCAGGAGGCTGGGATTTGAGGATAGCAGTCCAAAGCCAGCTGGAGCAGTAATGTCTGTGAGATTATTTTTATTTAAACACCAAAAGCCAGAAGTGAAACTTTTTCTCAAGTAGTAGAGCACCAGCCTTGAGCGAAAAGTTCAGGGACATGCACCCAGGCCCTGAGTTAAGACTTTAAGCCCCAAATACTCTTCCCACCCCATACACAAAAGAATCCAAGCCGTTTAACAATAGTGATTTAAATTTCTTTTGCCCCATACATGAACTAAGTGTTGCTGTATTGAATTTAATAGCAGTTGACTAAGGATATCAAGATCATATATTGACGTGACTACCTCAGATAGTTCTCAAAGTATGGCTCCAAAACAGAAGCAGCAGCATTACCTGGGAATTTGTTAGGAATGCAGGTAACCACTAGTTACCCCAGAATCAGAAACAACAAATATTTTTCAGCAGTTTATACAGGCCTGCTAAGAGGTTTTCATAAATGCTAAAATTAACTGTGTTTTAACTGAATTTTCCTACCTATATACCATTCATCCCACATCCATCACCTTTGATGTAACTAAAACATCATCTCTTGCCCTCTTTGAAGCCTTCTCTAGCCACCCTCATTTCAAACTGACATAGTAGCTTTCCTCTGTACTTTCTAACTATTCAGTTAGACTTGAAACTGTACTCAGATATTTCCAGTACCTATTACTTGCCTGCTACATGAATGCCAAACTGCCTTTAATAGCTCCTACCATCTATTAACAAAAGTTGACTTTATTCTGACTTTCCAGTAAGTCTCTCAATGAATATAATAGCTTTTACCACAGAACATTTTTTCCCACCCAGTGCTAACTATCAAAACCATGGCTTCACACATGCTTGGCAAACATTCTACAACCACTTTGCTATTTCCTTAGCCCCACAGCTTGTGAACTTATTTTGGTCATTACTGGCTCTGTATTACTTGAGCAATGCCTCCAGTCTGGCATTTTGCTAGATAAATGGCAATAGAGTCTTGAGGCCTTTTTTCTACCTGGTCATACTTTGAACCTCAGTTCTCCAGGTCTCAGCCTCCTGAGATTGCAGGCATAAGCCCAGGAGTCTGGCTCAGAACATTTTTTTAGGCCACTTACTTTACTGCAGAGAAACTTTAGTATTCAATAGAATGTTTGTTTTGTATGTGCTGGTACTAGTTTTTAGCTCCACACATTCTAGCTTAACTTTTTTGCTCATAGCTGACCTACCACTTGAGCCCTGGCTTTTGCCGGTAATTTGGAAATGAGTCTTGAATTTGTCCGCCCAAGCTGGCTTTAAAATAACTCTCAGATCTCAGCCTCTTGAGTAGCAAGGATTCTAAGTATGAGCCACTGGCACCTGGCCAGGAGTTTCTTTTGCTTCTGATTTATTTTTTTTTTAATATACAAATTTAAGGGTTTTCTCCTGTCCTTTGTTTCTGGACTGTGTGTTTATGTCTGAAATAAGGAGATTGTATAGACTCCCAATAATCTCCTCCAGTTTAATAATTTTGAATTACAGTGTGAGATTTGCCTTGTATTTCTTGATATGAAAGATAATGATGTATGGCCATTTGTAAATTATTAACTCAAGTAATTTAAAGATAGAGTGTATTACAAACTGAGTTATTTTTCAAATCTATAATACTATACAAGGTAATGATTTAAAATGGTTTTATGGACTACTAGAAATAATTTTAAAAGTAAAATATTTTTGGTTAGGTGGATTATGGTAAAGTGATTCACCCAAATCTGGTTTAAAGACATGGCATACTACTGTTTATTTTAATATCTCACAGTAGTCTACGAATTCAAATGAACTATTTGGAAACCTACTAGTTTTTTCTTCTGGCCCTCTTACCCTGGAGGGATATGTTTGAGTTTCCCAGGCAAATTAAAACTTCTATATGTTAAATTTTAATGGGATGCTAAACTACTGGCAATCTCATTTTTAAAAAAAATCAAGAGTTTTATTGCTGTCTTCTATTTTAAAATGTAGTTAAATGTAAAATACCAAGAAAAACAAGGTTCTAAATGTAAAGGTTAAAAAAAGGTAACACTAAATAAAATGTAATATTTTCTAAATAATCTAAAACCTTTCCTAGTTTTGGGATTCTGTTATTTACGTAATGAGTTCTGATTTGTATTTTTTCCTTTCATAATTTTCAGGGTCAGTCAGCAAAATAAAATCAACCTAATGACAGCAGACAACTTATCCATCTGTTTTTGGCCAACGTTGATGAGACCTGATTTTGAAAATCGAGAGTTTCTGTCTACTACTAAGATCCATCAATCTGTTGTTGAAACATTCATTCAACAGTGTCAGTTTTTCTTTTATAATGGAGAAATTATAGAAACTGTGAATGCTGTGGCTCCTCTACCACCTACAAACCCTGGACAATTAGTGGAATCAATGGTGCCACTTCAGTTACCACCACCATTGCAACCTCAGCTGATTCAACCACAATTACAGACAGATCCTCTTGGTATTATATAAGTAGAAACTGATTGCATACAGCCTGAAATTGGACAAAAAAGTCTAGACATGCATGTTTCAGGGTTCAGTAGTATACTTCATATTTCATAAAAATAATTCACATTTAAAATGAAATTTTCTCTTTGAGCTATATTATATTCCTTATTCACCTCCATTACAAATCAAAGACCATATGGTAAGCATGACTGGAGAGGTTTAATTTTTATAAACAAAAATAGCTATAAAATACAAAGCTGCTGCTGCATGCAACCTTATTGCAATCAGTATATCATTCCTGTGGCAATTTCTGTCACATTATATTGTGAATAAAATTTTTCTATAGAAATTAAATGATTTAAAGACTCACATATATGAAACATTTAATGCTTCTCAGCCTGCTTTATGGCTGGTTTTGTTACTCAATGTGCTAATTTGGGTATCTTAATTTACATTCTAGCAGTCTGTAGATAACTAAAAGCCCAGTTAAGTATTTTATAATTTCAGGCTACTTATGCCATGCTTGGGATGTTGTTTGAAAGAAAGAAAGACAGAAAAAAAATGTAACATTTCACATTTCTGCACCTTCATTTGTACTTCTAAGTAAACCTGTGGATAATTTGATGAGGTATAAATGAGCCTTTTTCTTTTACACATATACCAAGGACATGCTTGTGGCTAAAGTGAGTTGATAATGTGGTACAAAGGGTAGTTATCACCAACCCATTTCTTTATGGTCTATAATAAAAGAACCATTTTGTATACTGTTAATTCTGTAAACAGATGCATGTTCAAAAGATCTATGATGGTCTTATAATCTTAATCTAATATATTTTAGATGTTTTAATTTTTTCCCTCTTAGGGAATACATTTAGTATAGTGTAGAAAATGCTTCATGACATTTTCATATAAGGTTATATAACTTTTCATACATAAACATAAAATTTGTTGTAGAAAATTCTTTAAACCAAATTTTAATCTAGGACTTCAATTTAATCTGTTCCCTGAATCTATTTTTATGTGGCCCTTAAGAACATATCCAAAATATCCATTGCTAATATAGCAATAAAAATACTTTGGGTACTGACAGACTCATTGGAGTGTGTATATATAAAATCACAAACTTGCATTCATATCTTTTCTGTGATGTGTTGTGTTAAAATCCAAAATGGCTTTTGCACCATTTTTTAAACCAGTTGTTTTCTTTTGATGTTGGTACCGGATTTGCTATAAATGACTGCTGCTTTTAGAGTTACATTTGTTAATGAAGATACAACCAGAGCACTAAGTTACAGGAAAAATTTTTCAGTACTGGTAGCACAGGTAAATTTTGTTTGACTTCATTTAAAATTCTTTCATTATCAAGCCACCAATTTTTTTTCTGGAAAGGGAAAATAAGGTATTTCCATTACTAGATACGTAATGAAGAAGAAATTAACTGGTTATTGTTATAATCTTCATACTGCAGTTTTTAAAGTTACCGTGTGTGTAAATAGATGATTTTGAGATTCAAGGCTCCTAACAGTTTGATTTACTTCATTTTTTCCCTAAAATATTTCCTAGAATTGTACTTCCAGTTTTCACTTCAGAACCAAGATGTCAATATGAACCAGGCTGCTGTTGAAATACATGTATATTATAAATTATCTTATTTGTGTTATAATCTTACATGTTATATTATCTTTTCTAAGAAAACAAAGTCCCTATTATTCCTATTGCAAAGCACACAGGAATTAAGAAAGTACAGTAATTTTTAAAAAAATATCCGGTAAATGTAGTATTCTTAACTTGTTCTATATTACTTATGCCTATTGTCTATATAGCTTTAATTTATAGCTGTCAGTTTAACATTGGCATGTCTGGCAAAGAAAATTAAAACTTTAAGAGTTTTATAAACTGTTTCTAGGTTGCTAAAGAATTTATTTTTCTACTATATATGGTATAGACAAAGCATCAAACTATGTACAGGGAAAAAAAAGCCTGACTATTTCTATTGGAAGTAGGCTGAAAAGAGAATTTTCAGAACTGTTCTTGTCTTTGGTTCAGTCTATCATAACTTGGCTATTGTAATATGTGAATTCAGTTTATTTAAGCTGTTCTCTTTTTATACCATGTTAATTTAACATTCATTTGCATTTAGTACCATTTTGTTACTACAATTAGCATTTATCCTTTTCCACATTTAACCACCTTACACCTTTCCTAAAACTTTTTTTCTGCTTTCTATGCATTCTATCATTGATTTGACACACTTCATAGTGAGTCGTTTAAATGTTCTACATTTGGTTCAATTAATAGGTTACAGTTATTAAAAATTAAAGTCCAATTTAAAGCTCAGTCTGTTACACTGAATTGTGTTTGTTTTTGCCAAGGGTTTAGCAATGTTTTTAAATATTAGAAAAAATAATTCTAAGAACAGAGTAACAATTATTTTCCGATGAGTTACTGAAACATTTCACATTTTAGGGGGACATACTATATATGAGACTAATTAAAAGATTAAACGAATAGTCTCATGGATAAACATTAAGGCATTTTACAATAGTAAATAAAATTCCATCTACACACATTGCCATTGTTTAAAGTTCAGTGCTTAGAGTTATTACAATATTGGACTTAACACTATCTAGATTTAACAGTATAAAATGCATAGTGGTACTGTTTCAAACTTTCAGTAGCATTTTAGAGGTCAATTCTATTCAACAGACACTTAGGAAATACAAATAATTTACAGACAAAATGCAGGCAGAATATTTTTGTTTCATACTATATTTTTAGTAGTGCTTTTCCCCCTTAACATTAACAAAATTGTAAATACTTTAGGTAACAGCAATCTAATTTAGCCAAAAAGCAACTTTTATTTTCCACATTGTTTATAAATAATATAGACCTTTTTAGAATTTTTTTGAGGTACTAGAATCTAATTTCTAATATCTCTTAGATATAAATAAAAGGGAGCGATTGAAATAAGAACTTAGGCCTTAGGTTCCATAGTGACTTTTAGTTTTTTTATATGGTAATAATTGTGATGCTATTTGTCAACTGAATATAAATATATATATAATTTTAAAGTCAAAAGTGGTTTGTTTCTTTGTTATAACAGATATGCTTCACCCAGAGGATGCTGCAGTAAATTGTCAGTGAAGCCTCTTAATGTAGAATACTATGAATAAGACATTAAGAAAGCACATAAATTTTAATTTATAATTGCCTCTATTTAGTTTTTTTATAAAAGGCGAACATTAATTTTTCAAGTAAAATATGAAAAATAAGATAAGTTTAGTCAATATAATGAGAATTTTATTAGCGAACCCTTTCATCATTAGCTTTCACTTCACAATGAGATTAAAATTCATTCTGATGTCTATGAAAATATTGGATATAAGTCATCAGGAAAATGAGGTAATGTATAATTTCTAAGATTTTACCTAAATCTGAATTTTTGAGGTGTGGCTAAGCATTATTTTGAACCATTGGAAATATTTTTAAGCTTGTTCTACTTACAGCAGAGCTCCTAATGTCAAAGAATGTAAATTTTTTTTCTCTTCATGGTTTGGAAATTCTAAGCCAAACTTCATGGGTATATGCTAGACCTGTCAGATTATATGGATTTGATGAGGTCTTTTTAGCTTGAATTTTTTTTATTTTGCTTTTAATTATGTAATTTATTTTTTTTTTTGTCAGTGTTTAGTACTTGAATTCAGGACTTCATGCTTGTTAGGCAGGCATTCTACCATCTGAGCCATTCCATTCTTCCAGCCCAAATAATTTTTAGAGGAAAATGTTTGTTTTAATACATTATGGGAGATGTTTACTTTTTATTATATTTGAGTTCTTGAAATTCTTTGCCTTTCTAGGTTGCCAAATATTTGAAAATAAATGTTCTTGAGGTATCATAAGGCAAAGGAATACTCTTAAATCATTTTTTATTATGGTAGCATCTGTATGTACATTTTTGAAGACTGTGCATTAATATCTCATTCTAATATCCTATATTTGATGTGATCAACATAGAGCAGTTCATATCTATTTGGGAGCTTTCACTAGTTGAACCTAATCATCATCCTGTGAACATGACCCCCAGACAAAACACAATTTGTCTTTCAGGAGGTCTTAGTTAAATGGTGTAATATGAGTCATTTGTGGAATTTGCCCACACAGTAAGAATGAGTTTTTAAAAGCTAATCTATAACAGTGAAAGTTAACATTTTTATTTCACATGGTTATTCTGAAAAAATTAATAATAGCCTTAATAGTTACTTAACATATAGTTTTTAACTTTCTTAGTGTTTCAGCCAATTTTTTTTCTAATTTCTGTATTGTTTTATTTCAATATAAGTAATTAGGATTTATACCCAAGTTGGTTTTAAATGTGTCAGTCTTTTCTCATCAGATCATTTTCTTGTGTCCTTAACTGTAAATGGTTTGTCCTATATTCTAAATACTTGCTGTGATTTTTATTTTTTTTTTTTAAGATTTTACCAGTTTTAGATTTGGAGCTCTGACGTTCCTTTTCTCCAGATATTTGGTATCTTTTTATCCAAATAAATGTCTTAGGTGTTCAAGAAGCAGGCTTATAGTATTTGATTTCCTAAAATAGTAAGTAAAATAAGAATCAGTATACACTATCCAACACTTATTAGTTCTATATAACTCAGATTATTTTCAAATACATAAATGAAGTAAGAGTACCTGTCTGGAAGGATTTGTTCTTGAGATATCTTCCCAGAAACAGTTCTTAGAGGTTTCATCGCTAGACTTTTCATTTGTTGGAAACTAGGCATAGCTACTGAATATTTTTTAATTATAATACTTGAAGGGTTTTTTTAATCCCTTCAGTACTGTGGTTTGAATACTTCGTAGGCAAGTATTCTACACTTGAGCAACACTTCCAGCTTCAGCTACCATGGTCTTTCCCTATACCTCCCATGAAGCTAGGATTACAGTCCTGAACCACCATACCCAATTTATTTGTTGAGATGGATCTCACTGTTTGCCTTGGCTGGTATCAAACCATAATCCTCCCTATATCAGCTTCTATATGACCGGAGTCACAGACAGATATGAGCCACCATTACTTTAGCAATGAACTTTAAAAATAAAAGCTCACCTTTTGTTGAATTACAAAATGATTGTTGGATTGCCTTAAAATTTTTCTAAAGTATTCATAATGTACATCAGAAATTAGCAAACTTGTCCAGGCACTGATGGCTCACACATGTTAAGCCTACCTTCTCAGGAGGCTGAGATCTAAGAATTAAGGTTTCAAAGTCGACTTGAGTATGAATGTGAGGCTTTTGTCTCCATTTAACCACCAAAAAGCGGGAAGCAGAGTTGTGATTCAAGTGCTAGAGTACCATCCCTGAGCAAAAAAGGGACAATGCCCAGGCCCTGATTTCAAGCCCTGGTACAGCACTCCACACACCTCCTTCCCCCAAAAAAGCAAACTTGGGAAATGTCAGCCAGTAAAGATAAATATTTTACAGGCCATAAGATTGTCGTGGTACTACATAGAACTGCTATTGTAATGTGTAAAGTGCCATAAACAACATAGAAATTATGAGTATGATCGACTTGATCACAGATCATAGTCTGCTGGTCCCTGACAGGTTTAGTATACTTGAAAGCTAATTTTTATCAACATGGGATAGTTTTAACAATTCAAGATGGTATGTAGTGGACTAAAATTTGACAAAACCATAGTACCCTTTATTCTGACACTTCTCCAAAGGACTTTTTGTTTTGTTAAGAAATCACTATTTGGAAGGTTTTGTTGTTTGTTTTAAGATCTTAGCTGAGTGCTGGTGGCTCATGCCTACTGTAGTCCTAGCTACTGGGGAGGCTAACATTCGAGGATCACAGTTTGAAGCCAGCTTAGGCTGGAAAGTCTGTGAGACCCTTAACGCCAATTAACTACCAAAAAGCTGAAAGTGGAGCTGTGGTTTAAGTGATACAGTGCAAGCCTTGAGCAAAATGGACAAAGAGTTCAAGGCCTTGAATTTAAGCCCCCCCCCCCCCCCCCAGTACTTGGGACTTAAAAAAGCTGAGCCCTGGTGGCTCATGTGTGTAATCATAGATGGACCAGGAGGCTAAACCCTAGAGAATTAATTTGAAGTCACCTTGTGCAGAAAAATCCAACTAACCAGCAAAAAGCTGGAACTGGAGGCATGATTCTGGTTGTGAGCAAAAAAGTCAAGCAACAGTGCAGCCCTGACTGCAATGAAACCCTGGAAGCACAAAGTTCAAACTATTGATGTATATATGTTAGAATATATGACACGCGCAATTGTATGTATTAGTATTTATTGAATTATTTTCACAGGCCATTTCTAAAGGATGGGTTAAAAATCTTTGAAGGTAGTTGGATCTTCACATACTATACATGATTCTTTCCTACAGCGTATTTCTGTGAATTCTACATAGATTAATGAAGCCACAAACACGTTACCTTAAAAGTCAAAAATCATGTTCATAGTGAGTCTAAAAGTCTGACAGTTATTTAATGAATACTCTTTCCCACATGTTGGCCTTACATAAAAAGTACGTGGGTTCCTTTGAAAAGTTCATATGGAGAGAAATAGTAGTGTCACAGTGGTAATCAGGACTTCTTTCAGAAGGCATGTATTGTTGAGAATTCCTAAAGTTACACCTGTTACTTGCCCTAAGTATAGAAAGTGTTAAATACAGAGTGTCACTAAAGAATCAGATTGGTCTGCCCACCATAATGTCAGCCTTGGAGTTTGTACATCTGAGATTCACTGGCTATATGAATGGACTGACCATGGAATACATGGAAGATCTTGTTTATTGAATTATGGCCAGCCTCTGGGATGTCTGTGTCTTCTAAAGATCCCAATTCCATATATTCATATCCTTAAATACTCCCTACTTCATTTTACCAAGATTGGTCTGTGTGTACACAAGCATATTCTAACATTAAGCTCCAATGTAATTAAAATTAAGCCAGCAGTTTCACAACTTCTTTAAAATAACAAAATCTAAACCCACGTTTCCTAGGATTCTATACCCTTCTTGAACTATAGATCTTAATAGCCAGATGCTTGTACAGTTAACAATTTTAAATGACTTTAACAGGAAGAGATTTTTCCTTGTTAAATAATCTGGGCCAACCTCCCAACTGAGACATCTAGAGGGGGAAAGGAGAATTGCTTGGAAAAGTCAATTTGGAAACCACCGCAAAGCTAGTAAGGTGGTACAGAATTACAGCCAGGGCATGGGGAAGAACTAAAAGGCCCAGGCAGAGGAACTTGGCTTTGGGAACACTTTCCTTGGGTTCCTATTTTTAAATTGAGACTTGAGAATTCTGGAAAAGAGCT